GACTCATATGCTTAGGTGTCAATTATACTCAATGCTGAGGTGACTTTAATTTATGTAAAGTGTTATAGTATTGTATGTTTTAAAAGGAGTAGCCTCATTTATTTAGGGTTTATAATAAATTGATTTAATTTCTAAGGTAACAAATATCTGAAATAATTTCTAAACGAAATTTAACGCCCACTATTAAGACATTTTACTGTCATACTAAAATTATATATGTGGCAAAATTTGTAGGAGTATTGGGCACAAGTATATATGTACTTATACGTATAAATGTACGAAACGTAATTGTACATACGTATAGTATTTTTTGAGTGTGTGCTTATCACGCCAAAATGTGTTGTTCACTTATTTTAATTTATTTTATTTAATTTTTGCTGTTTTTGCCTTTTCTCTCAAGTGTATAAAAAAACAGCAAATGAAAAAATTATACTACTACTCTACACTAAAGACATGATAAGATTAGAGAAAAAATAAATAGCGGAGACAGGTGTAAAAAAAACATTAAAGTCAATAACATAATAAAGACTTAACAAATATCTCGACAACAAGAAAAAAATCCAAAAAAAAAAACTAATGAACTTGAAAAAAATAACATCCTTGCGTCTATATACAATAAAAGTTCAATTGAAACAGAACAATATTAAATTAAAACAACAAAAATTCAACATAAGTTGCAATAAAACAATAAAAAAAAAAGTTTAAATAAAAAATAACTTACCCCCAGGCAAAGAACAGCCGCCAATGGTGACCAGGCAATTGCAGGCTTAACAAATTGATGGGAAGCACAGCAGCTCAAGTTAATTTGATTTAATTTCCGTTACGTTTTATATTGTTTTATTAAGGATATTTATTTCACAACAACAGCTAGGAGTCAATTTTTTCCACTGTTTTTTTAATACAATTATTTTTGTTTGTTTATTTTTTTATTATTGTTTTCTTAGCAAATTGTTTTGTTTTTTTTTTAATGAGCCACTTTAAACAGAAATCTATAAAAATAAATCAGTTTGAATATAGTTAGAATCTCACATTTTTTCTTAATACACAATTGCAAGTTTTTAATATTATTATTTTTTTGTTTTGAAATTCTTAAATATATACATATATAAAAACCTTCAAACAATGTTATATATTTATATATTTTTTAATATATTTTTGCTCACATATATTCACGTTTTTTTATTCAAATTAGTTTTTGTTTGAGAACAAAAAAAATTGTGTGTGTTTACTTTATAAATACGATCGAATATAAAGAATCCATTAGAGGGAAAATAAATAAAACACACACACTCAAAAACACACAGCTATTAACAAGAGAAGACGAAACGACCGACCAAACGACAAACAAATCTGAACAGACTAATACAGAATAGATAAATTTTAAGTTTTACTCATACGAAAATCTTAAAAACGATTTTTCTTCAGTTCTAAAGAAAGTTTTCAAAGAAAATAACATCAAAATAAATACTTTAAGAAATATGTTACAAACAAAATGATCAAAGGCAATAGTGAGAGAGTAATATTATACACACACACCCACAATCACACAATTACTAAGTAGGAGCCAGGGGCTAGGTGTAAACTCTCGCCAGTGGAAGGCAGGGAGGCTTAACCATAAACAAACACCAAAAAAACGGCATTGGCATTCAAATAATAAAATTTATATGTGTGAATATTATTTTTATTTTTGTACCAAAAAAAAAAAACAACAACAATATTTTTAAACAACAACAAAAAACCCCATTAAAAACAACAGCAACAATCATAATAATCAACAAAGTTTTAATTTATTGATGCGTTGAGAATAGTCAATATCTGCGCCGTTCGAGAACACACAGAAGGCCAAGAGGCTACTGGTTAGACAGAACTAAATATTGGGTGTTAAGAACATTTTTTGGCATTTTCAATTAAATTAACCCTAATTAAATAAATTTTAAGAATTTTTAATTACAAGTTAGAAAAATGCAATTGTTTTGCAAAAATTGCCCTGTTACAAGGCAAAATCTTTTATATATTGCCCTATAATTGTCTAATAATGATTATAGGGCAAAAATACTTGAGTAGCAAGCCTTTAGAACTTTTGATTTACACCTCGAATCAGTTTTGAAAAAGAATTTATGGAAAAAAGAAACACTTGAAGGCAAAAAAATGTTACATTTTTGCAAGATAAAAGTTAAAAAGTGTTCATAGAATTAATAAAAGTTGCAATAAAATCTGTAAAATAAGCTTATAAAAAATTAAAAAAACCTTTTTAATAATTAAATAAAGCAAGATTATAAAAACCCTGAAATCTAGTTTAAAACTTTTATATTCCTACAGGGTCATTTTAAACCCCCTTATGTCAATAAAGATTAATTCTGTTTATTGTGGCAATGTAAATAAAATGATCAAAAATCATCAAGAAACCATAAAAATATTAAACGTATATACAATTTAATAATTTAATATTTATTTTCTGTTCATAAAAAATAAATGAATAATGTGTCTGCAATTTAAATTGAATGAAAAGGCAACTTTATGATGACGTACAAAGAAATATTTTGAAATTAAAAAAACATTGTTATAAATATTTTATAGATTACAAGATTTTAAGTTTTAAGTTAAGTTGTTACTTGGTAACTGACAAATTTCTGTCAAATAAACAAAAATTTTTTCGCTGTTGATTTGTTTATTTCATCGGATCTAAAAGGGTTAATCTTCTAACCCTTAAAGAGTTAATTTTAGGTTACATTTTTTTTTAAACAAAACCATCAATATCATCAACAAACCATAAAATAAATTCTTTTAATTAATTCTTAAATAAATAAAAACAATACAATAAAATTTCTAAAAATATCAAAACAATAAGTTTTGAATCAAACAAAAAAATTAATAAATTAGAAGAAGGAAAAAATTAAATTAATTGAATATAAATTAGGTCAAAAACTTTTAAATGACCGCACTCACAAGAAATTATAGTAAACAAATGGCGCATTTTAATTTTTAAAAATTGAAAACTATTCAAATTAGAATATGTATGTTAAATAACTTTTTCTGAAATTTTATTGAATATTTTTTGATTTATTTTTTTTTTATTAATACTACCGATAGTTCCTCAATATGTTCATATGTTCTATAAAAATTGTCTTTAAGTAATAATTAAAAATCGGATCTAGTTCTAGTGAAACTTTCGACAGCAAGCGGCAACGCGTTTTACGCTTTTCAAACTTTTTGCGCTTTATAAGCTGCAAGTTATACAACACGCGTTATTTTGTGATGTTTGTAACACCCAAAAATATTGATCCTACACCCTTAAAGTATACCAATCGGCTCAGAATCACTTTCTGAGTCGATTTTTCCGTCTGTATGTCCACGTGAACCTTGTGTGCACTCTACAGGTCGCAATTTTTAAAATAATTTGATGAAATTTGTCACATACTCTTATTTTGACCCAAGGACTATTGAAAATGGTGAAAATCCATTATTTCGTTTAGAATAGATCTTTTTATAAAGTCCCCTTCAGAAAATGACCTAATGGTTAAAATTCACCTATATAACGATGATATTCTGCATAAATAACTGATGTAGACGTAAATCCATCTACCAAAATTTATAAGGATATGACCACATTAACCCCCTGCCTCCATATTACCCCCCATTTAGAAAATCACTTTTTTGTCAGAATTTCAGAATTAAGGTAAAAATTAAATTAAATACTTTGTTATTAAAACAATTATTAAAATTTGTTATATAATGGCTGTTGTAGTGTATCATATGGTCGGCCATGTCCGATTATAAATTCTTACTTGTTTTAAAAATCAAAATTTTAAGTTTTTGTATATTTTTGTAATATTTTTCTTTCACTGTTGGAGAAATTTATTTCATTTTAGTTTATTTTATTTTCATTCTACACAAAACAAAATACAACTCTGATCAGCTGCCGACGCGTCAAAAGTTGAAAGTTGCTGAACTTTTCGCGACAAACGCGCTACAAACTGCAGTGTGTAACTTGTTAAATTTAAATACACTATTTTAACTTTTTTTGACAGAAGCCTATAACGCGTTGTCGCGTACAACGCGTGTTGTGTACTTCCACCTTAAGATATGTTCGATAGTTAGGTAATATGTATGTCAAAAGAAAGAAACAAATGTTTTGTAAAAATTTCAAACTTTGACCTACTGTAACTAAGAGCTCTTGGAAGATCTCGTTGAAAAATTGTGTCTGATCTACTAACTTATAAGACTAACATTGGTGCAAATTTCATTCTGATCGGAAGACATCGCTTTGAAAAGTTTATTAGCTAGACATGAAATTCTCCATAATTATTATATATATGGAACTACTTTTCTTTAATAATTTTCAATTTTAATCAGTTAAAAAATTCAAAAAACCCAAATTGTATACCTCTAGATAATTTTATATTTTGTCTTGTCATATCTACAAGTATGTACATATAATTTGCCAACTAATGGCCAAAGTAGGAAAACAAAAACAAAACAATACTTTGACAAACAAAATTACTATCTTTAAACATCATTAATATTGATTAAATTTAAAATTGATTTGATTTGTTTACCATACAAACACACACAGATTGCTTGATTTTTAACTATAACTAATGATTTGTGATTTTCCGTTTCAATTCCTACTTATATTGATGATATGTATTTATGTATGTATGTGTGTATCAATTTCTTCCGGTTCATAAATGAAAAGGATATGCAGACAGACCATTACATATATTTTGTATATTTAAATTAATGCTCTCTGTCGGTTAAATCTATAAGTATGTTTGTAAAATGAAGAAGTTTTTATAGGTTATTTCCGTATTTGTTTATCATGGTATTGTTTTATTTATTTTTTTTTTTTTAATATTCAATTGAAAATATTTAAATCTTAGAAATTTAAATAATAAAAACCATTAAATCAGTATTTTTTTATATTTTTGCTTTCCCCCATGCCTCTCTATATAAAAAAATTCTTATTTGAATATTTTGTTTTGTTTTTTTCTCTTCTCTAGTTAAGGGTATTGTTGTTGCTGTCGTTACAGTAATATTTACACAAGCAATTATTATTGTTATTGTAATATGTGTGGACATAAAGAGAAATAAACATATTTACAATTTTAAGTATATGGTGGGCTTGTAAGTATGTATGTAAATTTGTAAATACGTACGTGTAAGTATGTATGTATGTATGTATAAAGCTAATCAGCTGCTTGATTTGTTTCTTTATTATTTATTTTTTTTACTACTCTTCTATTTCTGCTTCTTTATATTATTATTATATTCTCATCTTTTATTGTTATTAACTAGATGAGTACAATGTACGGGAGTGTGTATATATTTCTAAGTAGTTGCTGTCTAGCTGGCCCATTTGGCTCGGTGGTATTAAATTATTGTTGTTGTTGCTCTCTATTGCCTTTTGTTCGCCTTTTATAAATTAATTTTGTTTTTTATTTTTTTCATTGATAATTTTTTCAGTTTAAATGTTTATTTTTTTTTGCTTCATTTGGTGACATGCACTCACTCATTCACTCACTTACTCACTCACTTACTCACTCACTGGGCGCACATGTACACAAACACACGTTTACATATGTATGCACAGTGTATATTTTTTATTCATTTGTTGTTGTTGTACATATACATAAAATGAATCGTGATGCACCACTATCGCGCACCAGGTATGCATAAATTTATGTGCTACGAAACAGAATTTTTCCTTAACTTCCAATTTACTTGCCACTTTTTTTTGAAAATTTTCTTAAAATTGCATTAATTTTTTTGTATTAAATGGTCATTCACACACATAATTTACTACTCTACTTCTTTTGTAGATTTCTTTCCAAAAATGTACATTTTTTATTTGTTTAATAATCATCAAAAAACACTTTATTGTAGAGTATTTAATTTATTTCTTTGTTTATTTTTCTTTCAACTGATTTCCACAAAAGTCTGAACGAGCGTTTCCTAAGCGGAAAACACAACCTTCACGTACGAAATGCAAAAACGCACTGAACGAAACATTTACTGTTTCGTGCTCAATTTTACCACCCGAACCGAGTCAAGTTAACAATGTGTTAAGTTAACAAGAGCATTTTATTTTACTTAGTAGTGGGGGGTACATAATGGGAACAGAACATTAATTAACGTAGTTTATTGTTTGAATTTGAAAATAATTTTCAATAATTTATATATGAAAAGTTTAATGAAAATTTAACACGAAAATATAAGAGGAAATTAATTAATTAAAAGCAAATAAATGTAAAAGTATTTAATATAATAAATGGAAAGCATTAACTTTTAACACAAAGAACTTTTAGAAAATTATTAAAGTATATTAAGGGCCAGTCCTAAATTTTTACTATATCACTTCCAATATTAATACATATTTAAATTCCTCAAAATTTTTCCTAACCGTTCCAGTGGTTTATGTAAAATAGAATAAAATTTCAAATCATAACTCCACCTATCGTATAAATTTTGAACTTACATTATTAAAGACGAAAGTTCGAAAAGACGTTAAAAAGTGATTACTTCCCTGCACTGAGGTTGCGTATAAGTGATATTTAAAGCTTTTAATTCGTTATTTTCTCTCTCAAATTACTTTCTGAGAAAATGTTTTTTTTTGTAATAATTGTTTTCTAAGATAAAAACTAGTTTTTAAATGAAAATTTTGTGTTTTGATGAAGATTTTTTTTAAGAAAAATTAGCTCCCTATTATTCAAAAAAGTATTTGATAATTAGTAAAAAAAAGCTAAACTTAAAAAATATATTTTAAAAAAATATATCTATATTTTTTTTCTTAATGAAAAATTTTCTTTTTAATGTTAATTTTGTCGTGAACAGTTCTTCTTTAAGATATTCTGGTGAAATCAGCTGATTTTTGTATAAATAGAAACCTGATTGTAATCACAAAATACAAAATTATTATTGTTGAAAGCTGGTTGTTTAATAACAATTTCTTTTAGAAAAATGTTGCGACTTAAAAGCCAAATTTAAATATTTTAAACGGCATAAACGTCTTTAATACAATTTTCAATACCACTATCACATATTAAAAAAAAAAAAAAATAATAATAATAAACAAATATCATTGGAGTTCGGCTACTAAACTTACATTTACTCATGGTAGCCTTTAATCTACTTATATATTTATATTTCTGAAGAATTTTTCTTTGTTTCTGTATAACATTAATTTATCATATAGAATTTGTGTAAGATTTATGTTGTATGTAAAAAAATTGTTTTATAATTTTAATTCTGTTTATTGGAAGTTGAAGTCGATTCCCTCACTACGTATCAGTTGTTCTGGGGTTTTGACCATTCGGCGCTCAAGATCAAATGATCGTAACCGTGACCATTAAGGATTTCAATAGCAGCAGCGGCATCTTTGCGTTGGCGGAAATGAACGTAGGCGAAACCTTTACAGAGGCCGGTATTCTTATCGCGGGCCAAATACATTTTGGTATGTTGTCCAATACGTTTGATAAGCTCTTCAAGATCTTGTTCGGTCATAGATTCAGATAAATTGGAAATACGAATAGCAGCGGTATCATCACGTCCACGCATACCCATACCACCTTTTTGGCTGTCTTTAAGGAATGGAGGTACATATTTGCCAGGTTTGGGTGCTTCTGTAACAGCGGTGGCGGCAGCAGTTGCTTTCTTTTCCATAAGATTGGTGTCCATAGCGGTACCCTTGTATGGACAGTAGACGGACCAATGCTCACCATTACAAATACGACACTTGGCAATATTTTTGCTCAAATCCAACAAGGGATCATTTGTCTTCTCCTCTTCCTTGGTGTTGAGAATTTGCATAAAGATTTCTTCAGCCACAATGGTAGTTTGTGAGTTGGGTCCAGCCTTATCGTTCTTGGATTCGCCGAATTTGGCCCAGGTGCGACGGAGGGCAACTGTTTTGGGCACAACTTGCTTGGAAATTTTATATGTACGCACTACTTTAACTTTCTTGTCATCCTTGTCGTACTTGTACTCTGTGACGTATTTGAAACCATTTTCAATTACTTCGGTAGGTGGTGGCAGACCACCGTAATCTAACTCAACCTCATCGGCCCATGAAGATTTAATTGTATCAACGCCTGGCATCTACACACAAATTTCACAAAAAGATAATAGTTAGTAATGTTGGACACACTTTGACAACAATTTTCACACTTTACCTTTAATTTTAATTAGTATTTTGCACAAAAATATGAAAATTTTCTATACGCCACGAGTTAAGCAAATTCAACGCAAATTATGAAAAGAAAATGTCAAATAATTCTCTGTATTACGGCGGCGGCTATTTAAGCAAAACGGCGTAGGTGTCTTTATTGTCAAAGAGAAATAGTAAAAAACAGGGTTGTATTTTGGTGCAATGGTGGTGAAAATTACCATGGTGAATTTACAACCAGAAAACTGAAGATTTTTTAATTTCATTGTAATAAATAATTTCATTCTATAATAGAGTATTGAAATTCGCGAAATAATAAAAACTTTATATTTATTAACTAAAATTCCAGATAAGGATTAAGAAAGTTTTTCAATATTATTTTCATTATTGCATTGAAATATAAATTTTAATTCTAAATTTTAAAAGTAACATTTTAATGAGGTATTTTCTATTTGATGTAAAGATACGGTACAATTTTAATGTAAATTTTAGTGAAAGCTGTAGTGATTTTGGAAAAAAAAACTGTATTCACACATACATTATATTAATATTACCTTCGTATTCATTGGAAAACTCCGGACCTTCAAAACCAGGTAGTAAAATATTTAATCCATTAAAAAATTATTTTAGGCATGTTTTTTAACGTGTATTTTGCTTAAATTTTCATAACATTCAGCTTTTGTATTTATTTCAATATATCTGACATTTCACAAAATCACCTTTGTTATTATTATTTGTTTCAGAATTGTGAAAAATTTCATTTAGTATAGACAGAAAAACAAACTAAACAAGTTAATTAAGAAAATCGTAGTAAAACAGTGTTTAAAAATGAAACAAAAAATTGATATCGATGAAGATGTATCCTCTATATGTGAATCAACAGTAAGTCGAAAGAAATACGCAAAATTCTTAGTTACTAAACAATTTCCTATTTAGGCATCACTGACGGAAGGATGCAGACTCTCGGTGCGAATGCATAAAACAGACGATTGGCCTTTAGCAGAAATCGTTAGTATAAAGGACCATGATGGCAAAAGACAATTTTATGTCCATTATGTTGATTGTAAGTTTTTAAAGCAAATAAATATTCAATTTAATTGATTTTATAATAAACATTCTTTTCAGTTAATAAGCGCTTGGACGAATGGGTGACGGAAGAAGATTTAGACACAAGAAAAGTACAATTTCCTCGCAGAGATGGTACACAGACGGGCGCCAGTACTGGTGTCACCACTCCTAAGAAACATCTTTCAATAGCTGGTAGTGTTTCACGCCCGACATCGCCACAACCTGCTGGTGGTGAAATGGTCAATGGAAATGCTGTACTGGCGGCAGCACTACAGAAAAAAATAAACAGAAAAAGAAAAGTAAATTCTGTTGCAGTGCCATTAAAGGAGGATGTAGTTCCTAAGAAAGATTGTAATGTTTTACAGATCAATTCCACACCTTTGCCTTTGTCAGCACCACCAGTGGTAGCGGCAGCAGCTGCGGCCACTGAATCCTCACCTGCCACTTTACCAGTGACCACAAATGAAGAAGGTTCGCAGGATGGTAAAAATGGTACTCCCAGACAATCAGGTAGTATGGTCACTATACATCAGGATGATGTAGTGACACGTATGAAAAATATTGAAATGATAGAATTGGGTAAACACCGTATTAAACCTTGGTATTTTTCCCCATATCCCCAGGTTAGTTTTTTATAGTTTTTTGTATTTTATTTCGCTGTATCTTCATGTAAGGAATTTCAGGAATTGTGCCAAATGCCCTGCATCTATATCTGTGAATTTTGTTTGAAATATCGTAAGAGTCGCAAGTGCCTGGAAAGACATTTGGTGAAATGTAATCTACGACACCCACCCGGTAATGAAATTTATCGCAAGAATACCATATCATTTTTTGAAATTGATGGGCGAAAAAATAAAGTGTACGCCCAGAATCTATGTTTACTGGCTAAACTTTTTCTGGACCACAAAACGTTGTACTATGACACCGATCCCTTTTTATTTTATGTAATGACGGAATACGACAATCGAGGCTTTCATATAGTGGGCTACTTCTCAAAGGAAAAAGAGAGTACAGAAGATTACAATGTGGCTTGTATTTTAACCATGCCTCCTTACCAGCGTAAAGGCTATGGAAAATTACTTATAGAATTCAGCTATGAATTATCAAAATTTGAGGGTAAAACTGGTTCTCCCGAAAAGCCTTTATCAGATTTGGGTTTACTATCGTACCGCTCCTACTGGGCGCAAACAATATTGGAGATATTTATCAGTCAAAAGCCCACAAATGATGGAGAAAAGCCGACCATAACAATCAAGTAAGTGGTAGAGTAAATTAAGTGAGCAAAAAATATTAATTTGTTATTCTTTCGAAGTGATATTTGTGAAGTAACTTCCATCAAAAAAGAAGATGTTATTTCTACCCTGCAGAATTTGAATCTTATAAACTATTACAAGGGTCAATACATAGTTTGCATTAATCGTGATACTATAGATCAACACAAAAAGGCCATGGACAAGAGAAAAATACGCATAGATTCAAAAGCTCTACATTGGACTCCTAAAGACTGGTCCAAACGTTCCAAGTGGTAATTGCTATTTTTTTTCTCACCTTCCTTAAACCAACCTTCTCATTTACTTGTGTAGTCTAATTCATGCATTTTTTGTTTTTCTTTATTTTTTTTTTTTCATTATTAGAATTGAATGTGTAGAAAGAACCTCAAGATACTTCCCCCACACAGAAATAAACTTAAAAAATAATAAGATACGAATAAATAAATGCACTGCAGTATTGCGGAGAGTTGTCCAACACTCTAGCCAGTTACTGCATATAATTAACATAAAATTGTTTATTTTAATAGTCGTTTTGATCATATTCCTTCAAAAGTTTTGGGTAGTTTAACATATCCAGAGTGTCGACAAAATGATCCAGGCCCTGTATGGTACATTTTTCCAAAGATATTTCTATAGCTTCTATGGAATACTGTATGGCATCGGTAGCGTTTTGAAGATCTACTAATTCCGAACGACGAATAGGTAGATTTTTGTATTTTTCCACTTGCTGCAACATTTCCTTAAAATGTTCCAAGTCAGGAGTGCTAATGTAATCGGTAGCACTACCACTGCTTAATTTTTCTTTAATACTATTAGCGTCCGCGCGAGCTGCAGCAGTAGGTAATTCAATTAACTCATTGCGCAGTAAAACTTTACGTGTGCAGGCCAATTTCACTAAAGTAGCACATTTGGCCACCAAAGTGAAATACTTGTGACGACGTTCTTCAAAAATTTTGAGAGCTTCTTCAACATTTTGCTTCAGAATAATTTCATTGTCTCGGTTGCGTTTTAAAGTTTCCAAGTTGAGTAGTAAGTTTATCTCTTCCAACACCTTAGTTGAAGAATTTCCATTATTAGAACTGCCACTAGCGATGTTGATGCTGCTCAAGGATTTTGATTTAGTGGGTGTGCCAGGCTTGAAATTTGGACGACTTTTTGTTGGTGTAGATGGTTTTATAAATGTAGACATATTTTCTTAATTATTTTAAAATTCTATAAAATTGTTTAAATTATTTCCTGCTTGTTAAAACATTTGTTTGAAGATGCAAAAAATTAATTCACTGGAGTTTAAAAGTTGGCAATGCGACAGTTGGGAAATTTTTCTACACCGAAAGAAAAAACTTTTGAGAAGGAAGTTGTGAGAAAAAATCAAGATGAATAAATATATTATGAAATCTGTGGCATGCTTAAATTAAAATCTCAGAATACCCAGAAAATACATTATTAAAAGAAAAATAGCTCTTTATATAAAATCCGTGATAGTTATATTGAGGAGTTCCATAACTGTTTATTGTAATTAAGAATCTTCTATTTAAGATTCGTTAAATTGTACAGCATCGCCTTGGATGTGACCAAAGTATATTAATAAAGTAGCGACATCTCTTGTTGTACAACAACATCTACAACAACCACATATATTTTGTTTTTGGAATAATTTAAGATTGTGTCAAAATAAAATTTCCTTGAACAACAATGTGAACAAAACATAAATAAAAAATATTACTTTTAAGTTAAAAATATTAACAATTTAATTATATTATTATATATTATACAATTTATTACACTTTTAAACTACTTTAAACCCACTTTTAATTCACTTTTTCAACTTTTCACAAATTTTAACAAATAGCAAAACACAATTTAAAAATGGCGACGTAAACAATGTTAACAATTTTCAAAACAAACTTTGACAACTTTCTTCATTTATCTAGTTTAAAAAAAATAGTCAGCTGTTCAAGTGATGCTACTTTATTAATATACTTTGGATGTGACTTTTTTTCTAAGTATACTTTACTTTTGTTTTATGACTATCAATCTGGCATCTCTTTCACTCAACAACACGTGTTGACATTCAACATTGTTGTTATTCATTGTGCAGAAAAGAAGAAAAATTATTATTTTTACTTAAAATAAATAAAGAATTAAATTTTTTAATATAAAAAATGGGTCGTAAAAATAAATCTAATCCTTTTGCTGCCAAAAAACGTCAAAAGCGCCAGAACGTAAGTGAATTTTTAACAAAAAATTAAAATTTGTTTACATGACCCTTTGTTTTAAAACTAGGCTGAAGAAGGGAAGCCGGAACGCCGCGCAGAACCCTATCCAGATATTGTACGCGATAATCCAGCCTTTATTAAATACTATAATGTACAAAATATATGTGCCGATGAGCAGGAGTGGGAAAAGTTTTTGTTGGCCATACGTGACAATTTACCGGCGACTTTCAGAGTGACCGGTTTCAAAGGGGAAGCTAAGGCCTTATTAGATATTATACAAACTGAATTGTTTACTGAATATGTTAAAGGTGTAGCAGAGTTACGTGGTAAACCCGTAGAGGAAGTCGAACGTCCTCTTTGTCTTCCATGGTATCCTAATGGCATGGCCTATCAATTGGATTTGACTCGCAAGGATATCCGTCGTTCAGAACCCTTGTATCGTCTGCACAATTTCCTTATTAACGAAACAAATGCTGGCGCTATAAGTCGTCAAGAAGCTGTATCTATGATACCGCCTCTTGTTTTGGATGTTAAACCTACAGACAAAGTTTTGGATATGTGTGCTGCTCCTGGCTCCAAAACTGCTCAATTAATTGAGGCTTTACATGCTGAACCAGAAAAGTATAAAATCCCACCAGGTTTTGTGTTGGCTAACGACGTAGATAATAATCGTTGTTATATGTTGGTGCATCAGGCCAAACGTTTGAATTCTCCCTGTTTTGTGGTGACTAATCATGATAGTGCCTTCTTCCCCAATTTGTTGGTATGTTTAGAAAGTATATATTGTGGGAGAAGAATTATTAAACATTTTCGTTTGCTTTTAGAAAACTGAAGCAGATGGTTCTAAATCCATTTTGAAATTCGATAAAATTTTGTGTGATGTACCCTGTTCTGGTGATGGCACTTTGCGCAAAAATCCTGATATTTGGTTAAAATGGAATCTGGCACAAGCTTATAATTTACATGGGTATTTATAGTTGTTATTTTAAATTTTACTTAAAAATAAATTTCAATGAAATTGTTTATCTGTCTAGCATACAATACCGCATTACCAGAAGGGGTGCTGAAATGCTTGAGGTAGGCGGTCGTTTGGTTTATTCCACTTGTTCGTTAAACCCCATAGAAAATGAAGCAGTATTGCAACGCATTATTGCTGACTCTAAAGGAGCTCTTGAAATTGTCGATGCTTCCCATTTGGTGCCTGGTTTAAAATATAAACCTGGCATGACAGAATGGAAATTGGCTTCCAAAGAAGTAGATGAAATCTATAGCAGTTTTGAAGAAGTACCAGAAAAATATCACACTGTCATTAGACCCAACATGTTCCCCATGCCCAAAGAAGAAATTGAAAAATTGGGTTTGGAAAAATGGTAAGTTTTTTATTTGTATTCTTTGTAAGTTTAAAGTAAGTTTACTAATATTTGCTGGTAAAGCATACGTGTATTGCCACATTTGCAGGATTCTGGTGGTTTCTTTGTAGCTGTTTTGCACAAAAAGTCTCAATTGCCTTTCGAGAAAAATGATGTTAAAGATTTGTTGGAAAAACCCAAACCTGAAGTTAAACTGGACGAAAATGGCCAACCCATTGAAGAAAAATCTGTTCCCTGGGGTCCCCAACGTAAGCGTAGACGTCTACATGGCTATAAAGAAGATCCCTATGTATTCTTCGAAGAAAATGATGCTGACTGGGAAGAAATTAAACAATTTTATGATTTAGATGAGTCGCTAAACAAACGTTGTTTACTTACCAGATGTATAACAGAGAAAAAGAAAAATATTTATTATTGCTCTGATTTGATAAGAGATTTGGTATTATTAAATGAAAATAATATTAAGATAATCAATACCGGAGTTAAATCCTTTGTGCGTTGTGAAAATCGTCACACCCAACATCCTTTCCGTTTGGCGCAGGAAGGTTTGCAGACTACAAATGCGTTTGTAGGTGACAGCCGTAGAATACAAGTGGAAAAAGAAGATTTAATATTGCAACTTAACTGTACAGATCCCACCAAACCTCCCTCGACAAACGAACTTAAAGAAGCCACACAGAAAAGGTGTAAAGAATTAAGTAAGTTTTCTTGTAAAACTAAATATATATAATGAAATAAGTTATTAAATATTTTTTATGTATTTCCTTAGGTGTTGGCAGTTGTATTATTAAATATGTAGATGAACGTTTTACTTTGTATATAGTGGGTTGGCGTGGTACTTCCAGTCTTCGTGCTTATGTCGACAGCAATGAAACTTTACATATTTTACGTTTATTGGGTGCTGATCTTAGTAAATTTGGTAAGTCAAGTCATTTTTAAGTTTTTTATTTTATCTTATAGTTATTTTTTGTGTTTTTTTTTTTTTTCAAAAGAGGTTAATAAATATGAAAAGGCTAGAGAAGCAGCAGCTGCTTTAGCAGAAGCTTCTGCTTTAACCGCTGCTGCAGCTGAAGACACTTTAAAAGAGGTTGAACAAAATATGACCCCCATGGAAACAAATGAAACTGAAGAAAACGCTACAAACGAATAAGTAAAGTTTATAATTTTAAATATAAATGAATGTAGGTGTATACATTTAGAAGGTCGTAAGATATACATAATTTTAAATGTTTTGACTCAAAAACTAATTTTTAAACGAGCCTTATGTTTATTTCAATTTTTTAATCTAAGAAGCGTAAATAAAATATAATCTTTAATTTTTCGGTAATTTTTCAAAATTTTTTGTAAATATGTGAGTATTTCGAATTAAAAAATGCGTGTTTTTTAATCATCTTTTTCAGTTTCATTTTTCATTATTTTTCACAAAATCTTCTTTTTTTCATAAAATTTTAGTTACATTTTTCAATTTCTTAATAAATTCTTATTTTTTGAAGTACGGTTCAATAAACAACTATTTTAAATTATTCAATTAATTCATTATCAATTCAATTTAAAATCACCAATTTTTCAATTTTTATCAATTAAGTTGTTTTATTGAATTTTCAAAATTTATAGTTTTTTTGTTTTCTTTTTCATCTATAAACCACTATACCCATCTATTGGTTTATTAATTCAGGATAATTGGCAATAATGTGTATTGCTTTGCTTACATCCGTTTAATGCAAAACGTAGTTCCGGTTTATTTAGCAACAAATTAACTGCAAACTTTGAATCAATCAAAAAACGTATAAATTTAATCAATAAACAAATAGGAATAAAGTATAAAACTAATCAACGAATATTTGAAAATAAATAATTTCCGTTACAAATTTTCAACTAAATTTTTTTATGAATTGCTAGAGGCCAACAATATAGTTTCAAAGTTTAATAGATTTAAGTAAAACTTTTATAACAGTTATAAAAAATAAGTAATAGCTAAAACTAGTTGTCACTAGTGATAATGACTTCTAAAATTTATGACCCTGAAGTAGTTTTTTTTTTCTTTTTAATATTTTACTAAAATTTAGTTTCAATTTTAATTAAAATTGGCGTATCTTTACAAGCATATCTGTATAAAAACTATATGCTGCTCATATATTCATTAAAATGTGAATGGAATGACCGAAACAACAGCCAGCCAACGCTGAGTTTTATATATTGCTGGTTGAGACGTGTGAAAATTACAATTACGTGACTAAAACATGTTAAAAACTCTAAGTGGTGTTTGGTTGAGAGTAAAAACAAACAGTCATGAATCCTTCTTAAAAATGTAGAGATACTAGTAAATACTAGTTATTTGTTGCTGTAGCTACAAAGTTTGTGTGTTTCTGATCCCAGAAACGCTATCAATGTGTTAACACAGTTACACTCACACAGAAAACATATTCACTTTTAGATGTGTGAGTATGTGTAGATAAAATAGCAGGATGGCAAGCAATCATTAAAGCGGAAATAATACAAAACTGTTGCTTGCTTTCCGGTTAGAAAGCAACAGTAGAAAAAAAATACCAAGCAAAAGAAGCACGTAACTATAATTTGGTTGGTATTCGCCACTTGAAAGTTTCTCCATTACATTCATTTAAACCAAAATTGTTGATTTCTAATGTATGTATGTGTATATTTGTTTGCATTTAAAATAAATGTTTGTCTGTTGTTGCATGCATGTTTTTCTTTCGTTTTTTAAATGTACGTAGATATGTTTATGCGAGTGTGTGTGTTTTCTAAAGTATTTGAGTTATGAATGTGTTAAATATTAGATTTGACTAGTTATTAAATATGTTTTTCTAACATACTAACAATTATCAAACAATTTACAAAAGCTATTAATGTTTATCAGTTGTGACCTTCGTATTCGATTTAATAGAGATTAAAATAAATTCTTAATTTTTTTACATAAAGATTACGGAATATTCAAATCCATATTTAAAATATGTATTTCAGTTTCAAAAGAATTTTATATATTTACGGATTTTTAAAATCCGTAATAAAAATCACAAAAATTTCTGAATCGTCATGTTTCCCTGAAAAATCACATACAAATCTATAACATAAAACAAAAGAAAAAACTTTTAATAATTATGGAAAATTGTTAAGGTTCTTTAAAGCTTTAACATTTCCAAAGATAATTTAAACTTCTTAATTAAATCTTTAGAGTGCACAGAGCTATAAACTATATACAAAAGATAATTTTGCTTTATGAAGTGCTATAAAATAATGACAATAACACTTAACCTAGTAATAAATTTATCATCACTTTGTTGTCAATAACTAGGGTTCCAATGAAAGTGTTAAATACTCGAATATTTGTTTGATGATAACGCAACAAGCTTTTATTACAGATCATTTTACCGAAAAGATAAATTTTAATTTGCATAATTTAAGATAAATAAAACAAATTTAAAGAAAAATTGTTAAGGAAAAAATGCAAAGCATTTAGATTTAGTCTTATTAAGACCTGGAAAGAGGAAAGAATGACTTTCAAAAACGCGTTACTATTCCTAGTGTTAGCTATACTGCAATTATCCCAGCAGGTATTATAAACAATTTTCAGTTTTCTTAAAAAATTATTTCTACTTTTATTTTATCTTTGGAAAAAAGTTATCCTTACCTAGTGATCCTACTTACAATGCTGGTGTGGTGGAATTTATACCAGCCATGAATGGCCAAGGCAAAGCTTTAGTTAAAGACAATTTAAAACGCATGAAAGCTATTATAGAATCCGAACAAACTAAGGATTTGGATATTTTAGTTTTTCCCGAATTTGTTTTAAACAATCTAGATATGATGACTTTTGTGCCAGATCCCAAGGATAATATTGCACCCTGTGAATTGCCGAATTATGATTGGTTTCTAACCGAATTATCCTGTGCCGTACGCAGTCGTAAATTGTATGTTGTGGTTAATATAGTGGAAAAGTTTCAATGTCTTGCCTCAGAGGAACATTGTGACGATGATGGTTTAAAGAAGTACAATACAAATATAGTATTTGATCGTGAGGGTCGTGTTATCTCACGCTATCGTAAGACTCATTTGTATCGCTATGAATGGTATAAGGAAAGTGTTTTGCCACAAGCTGAGTTGGCCACCTTTACCACAGACTTTGGGGTGACTTTTGGTCATTTCATTTGTTTTGATATGTTGTTCTATGAACCCGCTATGGTTTTGATACGTCAACTGAATATAACCGATATTGTTTATCCTACTTATTGGTTCTCGGAATTGCCTTTCTTAACGGGTAAGTTAGAAAAGAAAATAACTCTTCATGTTTGTTACTTTAAGCTGTGCTTGTTATTTTAAGCTGTGCAACTACAAGAAGGTTGGGCTTTTGCCAATAATGTGAATTTATTGGCTGCCGATGGCAGTTATCCTGCCGGTCAAAATACTGGTTCGGGTATTTATGCTGGTCGCTTGGGTCGTCTTACTGCTGTTATATATGAGCAACCCACTACCCAGTTACTTACAGCGAAAGTGCCTAAACGTCAAAGTTTATCTAATTACCAATTACCTCCCGTGGTTAAACCTTTATTTGAGCCTCATTTAGAAAGTGTTCGTTACACAAAATTGGATTTATTACGTGATTACAATGTGGATATATTCAATACCACTTTGCTAGATGAGTCTTTTACCCAAGTCAATGAAATGTTATGTCATCATAATTTTTGCTGCAGTTTTCATGTTCAAAGAGTGAAATTTGCCGATTCTAATAAACACAGTACCTACCGCTACCGTTTGGCTGCTTACCAAGGTTCTCAGACCACATTCCAACGTATTGATAGCAGCAATCAAAGTGTGTGCGCTTTAATAGCATGTACTGGTAGTGAGTTGTATACTTGTGGACATATTTTCCCCGAAAGTGTTTTAGTGGGCAATAAATACTACTTCAGTACTATAAATATAACTGGCAATTTTGTGAAATCCAATAGACGTTTAATTATGCCCAGCACTGTTAATTCTGTTATGTTACCTTTGACGGTGGACAGTTTTGAGTGGAAGGAATTGGACAGGTATGTAGGACAGACAATTTTGTAAGTTTTATTTTAAAAAATATAACTTTTATATATTTTTTGCAGTAATTCTACCACCAACATACAAATGAATTTGCTAGGACCTCAACAGGATCTCCTAACTTTCGGCATATGGGCCAATTATTATAGTACTGTCAAGAATACACACAACCTTTATACAGTGACTAAAAACGCACCAATACCAGTGCACAATTCGGCTTTTTCGTTGAACACAGTTTTTAATAATCTGTTAGTTTTGGGTTTGTTAATGTTTGTTGCTAACAATTTGTAATAACAAACTTAATTTTAGGAAATATTGGTCCTAAAATAAATTGTGTAAAGTTTTCACACAAAAATTTTAATGTTATCCTCTTATTTTGTACTCACTGTAATCGTATGCTTGAAAGGGTTTATAACACTGTATGCTCTTATTAAAAAAAAATACATGTACTAATACATTTTTAATGTGGATGTCCTTGTACCTTGACATACACAGAGTGTTTATTGTTTAATCTTTAACTGTTTGTTATTGTTCGTATGCTTTGCTTTTTCCTGGGGCTGTAAGGGGCGGCGTGTGATTATTTAATGAAAAAGGTTGCAAGAGTTAAAGTGCTGGTGATTTGGAGTATGAAATCAATGATAACCTCAAAAATAAAATGATGATGACCAAAACAAAATTGGTCTTCAGATAAAGAAAAATAAAATACAACAAATAGCTACATTGTTGTTTAATATGATGGGGAAAATTATGTTGTTTATCCTTTTTTCGTTTTTTTTTTTTTGACGAACTGCTGGACCATTAATAATTAATGTGCATCTTATGAGCTGCTAGACACTCATACCTGCGACTAACACAACGCTAACGTTAAGAATGATGGATGGCAATGACGACCATGTTCAGAATGTTAATCATATTGACAATGGGTATGAAGTAAAGTGGTTTTGTTGGCTGATTATCTCTCCAATATTTAAAAGAGTAATCACACTGTTGCTTCTAAGATGAAACAAAAAAAGTGAAACCAATTCCAAAGCATGCGTTTTAAGCAGAAGAGCAAAGAGAGTTGTTAACATCTAACGAGAGAGTATTTTCTCTTGTAATACGAATTTAGTCTCCAATTTTTAAAGAAAATCAACAACCATTAGTTTTGTATTTGTATAAAATTTAATTTCCAACAGGTAACACGCTACAAAACTCCTAAAGGATGCTGTTTAACTAATTTTCTTTTTATTTATTAGCACGTCCTCGTCCGTTTCACTGATAGTCTCACCTTACATTTAAAATGGACTGACGTTACACATTTTTGTTAAATTCAGTTTGTTTTTGCCATTATTTAATATTACTTTTACTTGGACAAAAAAATGTGAATATATCGGCCGTAATGTAAACTGTGAACTGACTTGTAGAGGGAATGAGGACTATATTTTAAACACAAACTAGGTCGCCGAGCCTGGGTTGGTGTTAAGTATGTATTTATGTGTATGTGTGCGTGCGTGTATAAGTGAGTGTCTGTTCGTATAACTTTGAGTACCTCAGCAGCAACACAGTTTAAATACTCTAAAATACAAGGCCTACAAAAGCAATGTTTTTTTCTTTTTTATGATTTTTTTCTGTACGGTTCCGTTTTGTTAGGCTGTTGGGTTTATTTGTTGGAGACAAAAGAGCAGGGTGTTTATTGTAGCATCATATGTTGTAAGGCTGCTATTTCTTATTTTTCTGCTGTTATTTTCATTATTTAGTTGTTTTTTCTGTTATTTTATCATGTCGTGTTGTTTGCTTTCAATGCTGGTGCCTGGATAACTTTCATCAACACACACATACACACAAATACTTACATATAAATAAATAAACAATAAAAGGCCTAGTAGTAAGACAACATGTTTGGCTGATACTCGCTTTAACTAACTTGTATCTACTATTAAGGGTCGCTCGTTTGGTCGGTAAAAACAAAATGTATAATAGCAAACATTTACACTGTAAGCAAAAAAGTAATAACGGCACATTTTCAAACGGAAGCGGATGTTCATATCGAAACTTTGTTAACTTGTTGTACAGAGTAGTTGAGTTGTAAGCAAATAGTACAAAAAATGTTGTATTTAATGTTGTCCAAGCGCCTTGTATTCTTGTCTCCTTTTCTTTGAATATATTTTTTTGTATTTGCAGTTATTTTTGTTGTTTCTTTGCAAATGTTTATTGAAGGGTAAATGTTTCATGTTTTTTTTTCTTATTATTATTTGCTATTTGTTATTGTTATTTGTTTTGTCTTGCTAACATTGGGTAACAGGTTGAAATTATGTACATATAAGTTTAAGATTTGACAATATTAAATTTGAAATTATCTTAAAAATATAAAAATATTTATGTTATACTAAATTATGTTTAATAGAGACAGAAACCTAGACTTATTAAATCTAATAAACAGAAATAGGCGGTAGACTAATTTAAACATTTGGTTTATTTTAGACAAAAAGTATTTTCCAGGAATCGTTCTGCATGAGTTCTTAAATCTGTTGTCCTTTTGTTACAAAATAATAAAGGGCAATATTGTGTTGGAAATAAAAATGCCTTTAGGTTAACAATTTAGTTCAGACCATTAACCTAAAGCATGCAATAACTAAGCTACAATTCAAAAGATATCATATTTCAATTTAAAATAAATTCGCTAGCAATAAATAATGTGTAAAATTTATAGTTTAAGGAAATATTAAAAGTATTCTTAATACTTATACAAACTGTTTCTTTTTCACCATTACCCTTTTAATTTTTCTTTCCTGCTACTACATCCTGTCACACAAAAAAAGGACAGACCAATACTTTACTACACAAACCAGGCGTATGATTAATATCATTTGTTGATATTATTTACCTAATACCTTGTATACTAAAGATGCCTAAAATTTCAACAAATTAGACCTAAAAAAAACATTTCAAGTTGGTGTATGTATATTTTTTGTCTAAGGAAAGCAAACGAAGGAAAATCATGACAAATGATCTTTTACTAAAATCGTATTTGCATATAAATTTTGTGTGTAAAAATTAGGAAATAATCGATAACGAATTTTTTTCTGTTTATATTCCCTCTTTATAACAAAACCTTATTTATTTAAGCGAGCATAAACAAAACGTTTCAGGACAAAACTAAAGTAGGAAAAATTGAGGAGAATATAAAAGGATTCAGGACAAAGGCAACAAGTACGTTTAAGGCATACCATAACAAAAAAAGGAGACCCTTTTTATACCATTTCATTATTTCGTTTACATTTAAGTTGCACCTTTAAGCAAAACGAACAAAAATTTAATTTCCGTTTGTACAATGTGATTTTTCATGTTTTTCTTATAACAGATGGGATTTTTTTCTACTTTTATATTTCCATAAGTTTATACACTTTATACACCCTTTTTGGTGCAAAGAAAAAGGAACTATTTATCTTGGCTTATTACTTCTGCTACTAACTACAGCAGCAGATAAGAAAACGTAAAAATAATTCTGTATTTTGTTTTTCCTCTATCTAGTATTTCCAAGTGAATAAATTTAAAAAAAAAGTTATTTATTTAGCACCAAATGTACTAAGTAAATTAGTAAAATTGTACGTTTGTGCCAGAAAAGTTTTTTTTTTTTTTTTCTTCTTTCACAATATTTCCATAACAATAAACATTTGTGTGTATTGTATTTAAGATATTGCTTTAAAATCAATATATTTCAAAAGAAATTCTACCAGTCATTTTATAAAATCTTAAAATTTTTTACCTTTAAAGGTTTTTACTTAAAGGTAGAAAGTTTATTTAAGAGAAAAACTCTTTTTTTTTTTGTATAACTATGAAATTATGGGAATGTGTATCCAGTTGGAAATTTTTATATATTTCGAAAGTGAAATTCAAAATGTATTTGATTGAAAACATGCATAAGACATTATTTTGCTATACAGTTTTACAATTTGAAAACAATTTTACTATATAGAATCAGTAGCTTGTAGTTATTATGATATCGTTGTTAAGATTTTTTTCTAACTGTTATGGTTAATTTCCCACTTGGAATCTTTGAAAATATTCGAAAATATGTTTATATGTATACATATACTGTCACTTATGTACATTTATACATAAATATATACTCTTGTATGTGTCAGGCTGTTTGGATATTTTATATACATACATATGTCTGTAACAGAAAACGATTGTCATGTCATACAATAAAGAATAACGAACTGTGCTTAATATGTACTACTAGTCGATACAATTACGAAAGAGAAAAAATTATATTTTACGTTTTCTACGTGACGTGATCTTATTTGGATTTTTTTTTTTCTTCAGAATTATAATTCACAATGTAATTTTATATTTCTTTTTACATACTCGTTTAGAAAAACAGAATTTCTGGTAATTTATTTATTTTGTTGTAAATGTTTAAGCAAATAGTTACAGTGAAAAAGAAAACAAAACATCTTGACATTTACATTAATATAAAGAAAGTAATTTAGAGTTTAAGAAAATAAAATTAATGTTTTAATTTGAATCTCTATTTACAATTAAACCTACAACTACATTGTCTATCAGGTTTTATTATATGTTTGATATTTTACTAATCAAAGTTTATAAATAATTTTTATAAGATTACAGTTCAACATAAAATACATTTTTAATAACGAACTTATTTAAAATTAACATATTTAAGTAAATAGTAAATTTAACCTCTTAAAAACACTAAAAGGTAAGTTTACATAACGCTTACTAGCATAGCATGCTTTAAAGAACTCTCAAATACAGAGCAGGATTTCATAAATATATATAAATCTAAAAAAACATTACTTTAAGTAAAAAAACATAAAATATATACAATTATTGAATATTGATTCTTATAAACAATTAAAACTACTTACATATTTACAAAAATATTAATATTATCATTTTTATCTTCGACAGCAACTAATATATGTATAAACAGACCAGGCCAATTTATTAATATATGAATAACAATCTGTATACACAAAAGAATAATAAAAATTCCACTTTAAAACGTATAAAAACCTGTGTTTTATTTATATTTTTAACTAAGAATTAGGTTATTTTCATCATTAATCATTCAAAATACTTAAAATTCCTTTCAACTACTTTAAAAAGTCCAAAAACTTCAGTTAAAATCTTAAAATTCAATTTAAATTGCAAAAAGTCGTTATAAATGCAGTAAATTAGCAGATTTTGATCTGGCAATGCTGCTTATGAAATTGTAATTTTTTGATGTTGGCAATGCCGTTTTTCGGCCTAAAATCAGCGCCATCTATTGGTGGCTCAATTTTTGTTTTGTCGAAAGAAAATCATGTCGCTCAATAGATGGCGCTGACCAAAGGTCGCTCCAGGGTTGCCACCTCTCAGAAATCAAGCAAAAAGTGGGATTGTTAAAAACTGGAATATCTCGGAAACCAGTGGACCGATCTCTGTAAAACCATAGGCTCTGGCTAGGGGAAATGTAAGACTTTCCGAAAATTTAATTTGGCA